ACTGTGCCTGTAAGGGGGTTGGGCTTCCTCCTGACAAAGCTGCACCCAATTTAATCTTTTGTCCCATGTGCTCCAAGATGGAGGCTCTGATAGTTTAGAGTTAGGACCGCACTATATGGAGGTGCCTTAACGTAGCTGTGCGGCTTTCACATTTTCTGCAGAAGACGTGTATCTAAACCTCTGTTTTTAACCTAAGCGGTGAGACAGGTTTTTTTTTACATGCTAGCTTGTGAGTGTGCTGGGAAACTTTTTGCTGTTTGAACTCACATATGTCAGCATGGGAGACATTTGCACCAGATTTATGTTGCTAGTGAAATGTTGTTCAAAATGAGATTAAATAGGCTCCAGGAAAGAAGACTCGTAACTACGGGCAAAAAGCTTAACTGTCGTTTCTTGAAGAAGTGGTCATGGGGACTTCTTAAGTAGCGATTGTTCTGTTAGGTGATGCTCCAGTTTTAGACAGCCGCAGGACAAGTGCAGATGAAAACAGTTGCAAACTTTTGCAAAACAGACGCAAAACACGCACAATCGGGAAAACAGTGCAAGCTCTGGTCAAAACGGGCGCACATGTTAAAAGGAGCGGCTAAACAGATTTGCACATTAAAAAAATGATCTAAGAGGCTAAAACAGTCACAATTGCTTTGATAAATTCCTCCCAATGTAGCACTTGCGGCCGGGAGCGGCTATCTAATAGCGGGAGACTCCCGGAGCTTCCGGGAGAGTTGGGATGTCTGCTAATAATATAAGAAAAGTAAATCATGAAGAACTGCAGGCGTTGTTTCGCTCCTGGAACAGAGACCAGGAGCAAGATGTTAAAACCACAGCTGGGTTTTGGTCTTTTGCCGGGAGTGCTAAAAGCTGCTCCTGCATGAACACAACCCAGGGCTTCATTTATACCTATATAGGAGCACCGATAGTGGGCCCTGTGTAATCAAGCTGGCGGCTTCATTTACATTCATACAGGAGCTGTATAAAGAAAGGGCGCTAAATTACCACTGGTGCTCAAGCAGCAGCCGCGAAGGCATGAGCAGTAGAGATCTTCGGCTGATAGAAGAGACACAGGGTAAGTCAATGCATGCAGCCAGTCAGCGTGCACGCAGACAGACTCCGTGGGACAGGAAGACGCAGAAGTCAGTACTGGATCAGAGACCGGTACCAGCGCTGGAGGGATTGCTGAAAACGACTGGAAAGAAGATGATCGGATCACCTTAAGTGCTAAAAACCTTCTCTTATCCTAGATTATACTTTTTGACACAGCTTCCAATTTTCTATATTCATTAGTCATGTGGTTATGTTTAAGCTGAACTCCCTCTATTCAACTGATACTGTATGTAGCAGTTTGCCCAAACAGTTTGGCCTGCCAGAGATTTGTAATTTTGTTCAACCGGTTCTGAGATTTACATAGCCCTGCCACGAGGCACAGCCAGGCTGGCGACCCGACTCTTTAATACTGCAGCTGAGCATCCTCTCGATCCCGTCATGGCTCTCTGCCATGACAGGGGAGGGGCTGGATTTCCCCCCTCCCCGCCAGCGCTGACTGGTGGATCGGACTGGGGGGGGGCGGGTACAGCTGGCTCTGCCTCTAGATAGGCAGAACTAGCTGTGCCTCACGCAGCTGGGCGGATCCAGACATAATTGTCGGATTCCGCTTCAGCTGCGGCGTCTCAGTATACTGTGAGCTGTAGCTCGCGGTATACTGAGCTTAGGGTGACGGGAGGACGCTAGTTTGTGTCCTCCCGTTACCCTTAGGAGAACTATGGGGAAAAGCCTTAACTCCATAGTTCTCCTTTAATCACTTCCATGCCCTAGACCAGTGGTGGCGAACCAAGGGCACGTGAGCCCAGGTGATCCGGGATGGTCGGATCTATTGAGCAGCAGCTGCCCTCCAGGAGAGCGGCACAGCCCCTAAGAGCCACACGGCCCCAGCCAGAAACCGCACAGATCCCCTGAGAGCCGTATAGCCCTCCTGAGAGCCACACAGCCTCCTATAGTTGGTGGTATTCTATATTGCTGTATATTGTATTGGTGGGATTTGTAGTCCTCTATAGCTGATGGTATTCTGCATTGCTGTATAATGTATTGCTGGGATATTTAGCCCTCTATAGTTGGCAGTATTCGGCATTGTTATATATTGTATTGTTGGGATTTGTAGTCCTCTATAGTTGGCAGTAATCGGCATTGTTATATATTGTATTGTTGGGATTTGTAGTCCTCTATAGTTGGCAGTATTCGGCATTGTTATATAATGTATTCCTGAGATTAGCTCCTGTACAGCTTGGAGTCAGTGGCAGAGCTACCAGAGTCACATCTTCCACCACTGACTCCAAGCTGTAGACTCTTGCCTTGCAGTGTGCTGCGTGACATGTACCTTAGTAGCACACTGCAGTGGAACACGTCACTCATTAGCACAGTACAAAGGTACCTCTTGTATTTTAAGATTTAAGCATATAATTAGTTCAGACAATCATGTGAATTGTTTTTGGGGTCTAAGTGCGGGGTTGGCACTTAAGTTGGTTTTGTGATCCAGTTTGGGCACTCGGTCTCAAAAAAGGTTTGCCATCACTGGCCTAGACTGTGACTGGACAATGGAGGAGCAGCACCAGACAGATAAGGTATTCTAATGTGTGTCTGTCAGCACATGTGAAAACATAAACGCCTGATTGGCTCACACAGCACTGACCATCCCTCTCCCAGCCTGAGTTCTACTGTACCAGGGAATAGGATACCAAGAAACGAATGAGGTATTTACATTTAATCTCTACCTTAAAGCAGAACTTTTTCTTAACCCTTGCAGTGGGGCCACCCCCGCACTGCAAGGGTTAAGTGCTCTATTTTGTCTAGGTTCAAAAATATCAGTTATACTTACCCGAAGCTAACTGGTTCTTAGACCAATCCCTTTCACCTCCCTCCCCCTCTGCTGCAGCGGTCTAAGGTACCATGAGTCATCACATTCTGTACACAGTGTACAGGGCGGGAGGATGCCGAGGGACATACCATTGCTGCAGCAGAAGAGGAGTGAGGCTCCAGGGACTGGTCTAAGAGCAGGCCGGCTCCGAGGATTGGATGAGTATAACTTTGGTATTTTTGAACCTAGACAAAAATGAGCACTTAACCCTTGCAGTGCAGGGGTAGCCCCACTGCAAGGGTTAGGAATTGTTTTTCTTGGAGTTCTGCTTAAAATTGTGTATTTAAATCTCCTGTAAGGTCAGGTTTATAAATGAAACTCTAATGAAAAGAAAAGTCTACACTGTTGTAGTGTTTATTGTCATCTGATCTGCACTGAAGGCCATGTTTACCTTTCTGACCATATTTCATGTTACACTCATATTCATAGTGTAACTGAACCCCCCCCTCCCCCCTAAGTTGTAATCCTTTAATGACTCCAATGCAAAAACACAAAAAAGGGTTATCTGATCGTTTGTGCCTAGGGTTCCAAAAAAAGTTCTACTCACCCGAACCTGAGCTGGCAGCGCTCTCTCCAACCTCTGTCCTCCTCCGCTGCAATGATGGTATATCCATCGGCGTCCTCACATCCAATACAGTGTATTAGATGTGATGACTCAAGGACTCATATACCGCTGCAATGATGGGGGAGAGACGCTCCAAGAACAGGTCTAAGAACCGGCCAGCTTGCAAACTCAGGTGCGTATAATTTTGTTTCTTTTTTTTACCTTAGGCAAAAACGAGTGCTAGACCTTTGCAGTGCAGGGGCAGCCCCACTGCAGGGCTAAATAACATTTCTGCCCGGAGTTCTTCTTTAAAGAAAAAGTATTGTTATAACTAAGGTCGCACTGATACCGATTTTCCGGTATTGAGTATGAGTACCGATATTTATATTTCAGTACTCGCCAATGCCAAGTACTGATACCGTTACTTCCGCTAGCATGGAGCCGGCCTGGGAAATCAGGAGGCTGGGCAGCGTGTCATTACCCGCCACCTGGCTTCTTGATTGCCCGGCTCCATGCGGCTTCCTGGACAATCAGCATTGAGCCGACCAAACAGCATGGACCCGGCTTCCCGGCCAATCAATAAGCTGGGCGGCAAGTTGTTACCTGATTGGCTGGGAAGCCGGGTCCATGTTCCCTCGTGGCATGGCGGTCAGAGAAGTTTTGGTATTGGGGGAAGGTATGGGAGCATTTGGGCGAGTACTCGTATCGGAACTGACACTAGTATCGATATCGGTGCGTCCCTCCCCCCAACAAGGAGTCATGTTTGTTGTTCTCTAACTTACCCCAGAAACGTGGAGGCATTTGATTGCTATAATCTACACGCAATGTTTGTAAACAAGCACTAGGTTTTTGTGGTTGGTCTTTTTGTGGCATTCCTTGCTGACGGTTGTAGGTGAGCATACATACATGAAGTCTCCTGAACACAACCCACATATACAAAGTATGTTTCTACCTCTGAAATGATCGGGCCATGGGAGGGGTGCTCTTCTAAAGACTTGGTGCTAATGGTGAAGCTGGGCGATATGGTACTGGTCATGTTCAGGTCCTTGTGCTGAAAACATCAGATACTCCAATGAACTTTACAAACCCCAAAATGAATGTCTTTTATTTCAATTTATTGATCTAAATTTGTATTTATCTTTATGACGGAACAAGAGAAACATTTCTTTATTAAAGTTGCATCAACATTATAAAAGCTGTGGAGTAATACTGAAGTGTATATAAAATAGGTAACCAGACAATTCAAGGTTTGTCCCTTTTAGGTGCCTACACACCGTCAGCTGCCAAGCATCTGTGAGGTAGTAGTTCTGGGGCTCTTGGATTGCCTGATCTTCCTCACAGCGACAAAGCCGTGGCATTGGGAACCCAGTGAAAGCACCAGGTCCTCAAGAGACAGAGACTAGATAAATCTATTGGGAAGGTGGAAACCCTTTATCTATAACAGACTTCTGAGGTGCACATCAGGCCACAATGTTAAAGGAAGAATCCCACATTGGGCAAAGAAGGTCTGCAAGTGAAAGTCACATATTAAATCACAGACAGTTACAGTTGCAGAGGCATGGTTTCAGTACAATAAAAACAAGATATACTATCGTCTAGAGGGAATGTAGAATTTCCCAAACACTATGACAGGAGCTGTAAGACTTCTCGAATTCTCTCTCTCTTCTGCGAATCCGCCTCTTCCTCCGTCTCATTGCTGTCACACTCCTTCATGTAAGCTTCCGCTTTCTGTATTGTGGTCTCGCGTGCGCTTCCTTTCAGACCACCCAAGTAGTCCAACAGAATCTGAAAGTACTTGTCAGGAACCTATACAAACAATAAAGTCAAACATGTTAGGTTATGATGGGAAGTACTATGAGGACTCATGTAAATGGGTTTCTGCTTGCATCTGAGAGACATATTTTTTCATATACAACTCAATGTAACAGCAAAAGCAATTCACCAGTCAAAGCATCTCGGAAGTATCTGAAAGCATACTGCATTTGGGTCCGCACAAGGCTTTCTGGTAGGTAAAAGTTGGTCAGTGTGTGGAGTGCACTGATGAGATTCATTGGGGGAAACAATGAAAACTGGAGCAGACAGAATCTGGAGCAGCTGTGCAGGGCAACCAATCAGCTTCTCTCGTCAGTTTGTTCAGTTAGGATTTGAGAATAAAACATAGAAGCCTATTGGTTGCCATGCATGGCTGTTCCAGATTTTGTCTGCTCCAGTTTTGATGAATTCCCTTCTCTGCGTTCTCCACTGTTCAGTGTTAGGGGGACAATTCCTGTATACAGCAATACAGTCCTGTTTGACTCCCTTGCTGCCCTTTCCAGTCCCAGTTCTGCTGTACTCGGCGTTACAGGGTAATTCCAGTTTCCCACCAAATGTGAGAAAATAAAATTACCCCCACAAATCTGCCCCCTCTTCCCACCCCTGCTTGTCATACCTTTGGGGGAACCGCCATTCCTTTTATTTATAAACAGGCTCCTTACATTTGAGAGAAATTGCATTACTGCATTCCCAAATGTTGCCAGCAGATGGCGCTCCAACAATCAGAAATACTATGTGCAAGTTGTCTTTTTTGACAATTCTGTGTTTAATTATTTGGATTGCGTTTTCCATAAAGAACACGGGAAACAGAATATTTTACATGATGTGCATCATGTTACAACAATATACGAGTAGAGCTTATGGCGGAACTTAAGCGTTACAGAGAACTATTGCTAGAACACAATTGAGTACATGACACATACAGCATGTTTTTAAAGAAGTACTCCAGGAAAAATTTTGCTAACCTTTGCAGTGGGGCTACCCCCGCACTGCAAGGGTTAACTGCTAGTTTTTGCCATTTTCATAAATAGCAAAGTTATACTCACCCGAAGCTCTGAGCCAGTGCGATGTTACAGCGTTCCCTCCAGCCTCTCTCCTTTTACACTGCAGCAGTGGAATGTTCCGCGGCGCCCTCATGTCTATACACACTATAGATCTTAGGGGTGCACAGATAACAATTTCTCGGTATCGAGGATGAGTACAAGATATTTTGCTTTCTGTACTCGCCGATACCGGTACGGAGCGGCTTCCCGGGCAATCAGGGATTCTGCCGATAAGTAATGACATGCCACTCGGCTTCCTGACTGCACCGGGAAGCCGGCTCAATGTTGTTTGGGCGGCACGATTGTGATTGGCCGGGAAACCAGCTTCCCATCCAATCAGCATCGAGCCGCCTTCCCGGCCAATCGGAAAGCCGGGCGATTGGCCGGGAACATAGACAAAAACAAGCAGTTAACCCCTGCAGGGCTGGGGTAGCTATTCTTCTTCAAGATCACAGTAGAGACTCTGAAGCACAGCGTCAGGATGCATTCACACCTAAAGGTAAGCATAGGCTGGTCATTTTCAAATATTTCTTTGTGCGTTTATATAGTTTTATGCGCTGCTTGTAGTACAGAAGCAGAATCTAGTGTTTATGTCCCTTTATAAAAGGCAGAAATGTGCATTTTTCAGGCACTCACATTAAATGATTGATTCTGCCTGAAAAGGAGCTCCTGGATCTTTTCTACTACTGACGCTTCAGTGCTCAAGTGTGAACAGACACCATAGAAGACAAAATGCTCGGGTGTAAATGGGGCCACTTGCTGTGTGTTTACATTAGAGGACTGCCAAGAAAATAAGGGGAGAGGAGCTGTGATGTCAGTGCCTCATTCTGAACTTTGAAGATTATCTACAATGCCCACAGCTATAGAGCTCGGTGAGGGTTTGTTTGGAATTATGTTTTCTTTACTGCGTGTTCCACATAAATACTTTGTGCACAGTCTATATACCCTGGCGCACTCTAACCCTTTTGCTGTTACCGTCATATAAACAGACATGTAGACAGAGTTTATTTAAAGGAGAACTATGAGGTGAGTGCTTTTCACTCATCCTCATAGTTCTAGCCGACCTGCGACAATGAGACTGTCACAGGTCGGCTCAGTAGATCGGGAGGTGAGCGAACACATACCGGCGTTCGCTCACCTCTCGATCCTGTCACAGCTCTCTGCCGTGACAGGGGACGGGCTGGATACCCCCCTCCACGATCCTCCAGCGCTGACTGGCGGAACGGACGGGGGAGGGGGCGGGTACAGCTGGCTCAGCCTCTAGATAGCCAGAGCCAGCTGTCAGTCACGCAGCTGGGCAGAACCAGACATAATTGTCGGGATCGGCTTCAGCATCTCCTGTAGCTCGCGGTATACTGAGCTTAGGGTGACGGGAGGACGCTAGTTTGTGTCCTCCTGTTACCCCAAGGAGAACTATGGGGAAAAGCCCTAACCCAATAGTTGTCCTTTAACTGATCTCTACAGGCTGTCCGATCACCCCCTCCCCCACACATCCCAAACTCAAATGTCCCTCCTGGGTGCCCAGGACCTTCATTGTGGGTGTAGGGATGGAGACTGGTAGGAAATTAGTAAATATCTGTTTGCTGGTCTTCCCTATGAAGAAAACCCCCATAAGTGGTCATCTCTGATCACTTCCGAGTACATTGCTGTCATTCTCGTCATGTCATAATCTGTGCTCAGTCAGGTTCAAGAGTGAAAGGTGACATTACTACAGAACACTCACAAAAGGAAACCTTCTCTGTGTATTTAGCTGTTTCTCTGGCCTTCAGCTTTAATCACAAATAGGCCCAACAAAGTACATTCAAATATGTTCTTCCATTATTCAGACATTTGTTTTGTCATCATAAAATAAACTACAGACGGACTTATTTATTATTTATCTATTACAGGTATTTCTATAGCACTGACAACTTTACATAGTTGCACATTCACATCAGTCCCTACCCTCAAGGAGCTTACAATCCAATGTCCCTATCTCACATACATACGTACATACAGGGACAATTTTAGACAGGAGCCAATTAACCTTCCAGCATGTCTTTGGAGTTTGGGAGGAAACTGGAGTACCCGGAGGAAACCCATCCAAGCACAGGGAGAACATGTAGATAGTGACCTGGCCGGGATTCGAACCAGAGACCCCCCCGTGCTGCAAGGCAGAATCGCTAACCACAACGACACTGTGCTGCCCACTTATGATATTTTATGTATGGCGATCCTACAAAATTGCACAAAAAAGAGCAGCAGCAGAATGTCAGCTCCACTGGATCTGCTCTATAATCATTTTAGCTCTGCTGCAACTGTAGGCCGAGAAGCCATCTTCACTATCCAGAGGAGGAGCCTGGGCAACCCTTATTAAATGTTACTATGCATATCTAAAACATTAAATGCATTTATTAAGGGTATTTATATAGCACCGACAGTTTATGCAGTTGCATATTCACATCACTCCCTGCCCTCAAGGAGCTGTATTACAATCTAAGGTCCCTATCTCACATACATACATACATACAGGGCTGATTTAAACAAGAGCCAATGAACCCACCAGCATGTCTTTGAGGTGTGCTAAGAAACCCTCGCAAGTGCAGGGAGAACATGCAAACTCCTTGCAGATAGTGTCCTAACCTGGATTTTTGAACCAGGGACCCCCAGTGCTGCAAGGCAGAAGTGCTAACCACTACACCACTCTGCTGTGATCAGTAGAAATTGAGTCTTAGGCTGTTGCTTTCGGGTCCAGAGGTGGTATGCCCACAGGCTCTTGTGATGGAAATCTGCCCAATAGACTGTAAATACAGTTACATAGGATATGGACACAAACAGTGGCTCCATGGGCCACTATAAGACTATCCCTCAGGACTGTACATTCTCTGTCATCCTCTATATAACCACAAGGTGGCAGTGGCAAACTTTCTATTACTACAGTTGCTGGACTGCAATAAGAACTTTTTATATTGGCATCATATTGCGTTCTGCAGAGCTTTGGGGAAAACAGAGATTCTCATCAGTCCCTGATCCAATGGAGCTTACAAGCAAATGTTCCTCTAATTTACATACAGCTTACTATAGTTGCACATTTTAGGCTTGTCGGTCTATCAGTATGGTTTCAGACTATGAGAGCAAAAAACAGCAAGCAAAGGAAAGAAACATCAGGAGGACATACATAGAAACTTCACTTCAAACAGTGCCCTTTTGTGGAATTCATTACCCCAACGTTAGGCTGCAGCACTAAACAATCGGGTACGCTGCTGCCCACTATTACCACATGATAAGATGTGATAAAAAGATAGTGGGAGCATTTGTAAAGTCAGTGCAGATAGATAAATGAGCTTTCAACACATGATCAAGCCAATGCCTTTCTGCTAATCCACAGAATATGGCTTCATGTTTTCTAGTCACTGTATAATTTCCACTTAAAGAGAACATTAGCCTAACTTCTGCATTGTTCACATCAGGAAACAATAGGTGCACCAGAGAGGTATTGGGAACCCTGAAGGAGCTTAGGCTGGGAATAGGACTGATAGAAGCCACAGGTTTTAAAGTGGTGTGAGCCACAGCAATAAGAGCTGCTAAGGACTCTTTAAACCTGAGAGTAATGGCCATGACCTGCAATTCCTCAGGAGTAGCAGAATTTTTTATTGACTTAAGAGACTCATCATCTGATGGAGTCTCAGATCAGGGTTCAGGGGCTGTTAATGCCCCTGGTAGATCAGATAAGATTGTGCAGGGGAAGGTGCCAAAGCACAATAATGGCACCCTATAGTCAGAGTCAGCAGTTACATTTCAAATAGGCCCATAAAAGCTTGCATGCCTGTCGTGAAATCCTCCTCTGATAGAGCCATGGAGGGGGCCAAGCCCAAAGGAATTAAGGCAGACTCTGAGTACAACATAGACTTCAGCAGAGGAAAAATTCCAGGCTGTCAGTGTCAGGCCTTGTAGGGGCTGCACTGCAGGCAG